CCACGGACAACACTGACGTTTGTGGCTCCAGGTCTGATCAAAGACTACTTCGTCGTCACTTCGGAGGTTCCTGTCAGTCAATATCCATTGCTGAATGGAGAGCCAGCATCATGGCCAGAAGATGAGCACGAAGACCAAGAAGGTGGCGAAATTCCATGGCTGGCAGCTGGAGGAGGAGAAAGGCCAGAGATTGCAGAAGATGTGCATTTTGTCGATCCTGATGAGCTTGAGGTCAGCATCGATGAACTGACGTTCAACAAAGACAACAAGCTGAAAGATCTCCAGGACATGTGTCGAAAGCTTGGGTTGCCCACTTCAGGGTCGAAGGTGAAGGTGCTGAGAAGATTGCAACAATACAAGCACCATGAGGAGGAGAAGATTGCATATGAGATTGCACAGCGCCTTTACAGTGAGCAGAGAAGAGAAGCAATCCCCGTGAAGACACCCAAGCTGCCGACCAAACATGAACAAGAGCTTCATCAGCTCACACATTTGCCTTTTCAGGCCTGGTGTCAGCAGTGTGTAGCAACAAGAGCAAAAGAGGATGTGAGAACTGATGCTGACACTGCAGATCGCAAGGATCGTGGCCGCAACGTGATCAGCTTTGACTATGGCTACACATACACCTCTGGAGCAGCTGAAGAAAAGCAATGGGGAACTGCACTCTACGTAGCTGAATCTGAATCCAAAGCAGTGTTGTGCATCCCCGTCCAGGCCAAGGGCAGTCTGTCACTCAGGCAGATTACAGAGGAGTTGACCCGCTTCAGCATGCAAGTGTGCAACACGCAGCCCATCGTATTTCAGTCAGATGGAGAACGGGCAACCAGGCAAATCCTCCGAGCTGTTCAACATGCTCGAGCCTCGATCGGACTGACCACGGAGATTCGGACGACCGCTCGAGAACAACATGCGAGCAATGGTCAGGCTGAGCGAACAGTCCAATCTGTCCGGAAGCTAGCAAACACCCTACGGAGTTTTGCTGAGGAGAAGACAGGCATCAAAATTACAGGTGATATGCATTGCTATCCCTGGAGCTTTCGTCATGCAGCCTGGTTGATGGTGAGATATCGTGTGATCAATGGCTGCACGTCCTTTGAAGCCCTGACAGACAGGAAATACAACGGAAAGGTGGCACTATGGGGTGAGACTGTCTTGTTCAAGGATGTCACTGCCTTCCGCAACAAAGGAGATCCTGTCTACAAGAAAGGGCTATGGATGGGCAAAAGTGCATGGAGTGACAGCCACATCTGTTTGACCCGTTCAGGTGCAGTTGAAGCTCGGTCGATCAGGCGTCTTCCTGACCAATTTGATGGACAGATGTTGGTGAACAGCAAAGGCCTGCCTTGGCAATACTCCATCCAGGGCATCCTGATGAAGTCCCGTTTTGCAGCCCGGCAACGTCAAGCTGAGGCAGTTGAGGATGCTGAAGGAAATGAGATGATCGAGCAAGAGGCCAAGACTGTTGGTGAAGATGTTGCATTGGGCATGTATGGCCATGGTCCAGTGCTTGGTCAAGGAACACCAGGTTTTCCACTGGAAGGGTATCCCAGAACGCCAGGGATCAACCCTAAACCAGCCACACCGGCGCCAAGAACACCAGCAAGGCCTGCAGTAGCACCAGCAACACCAGGGACTACAACTCAGACCTGGCGGGAGAAGGCAAAGGCAAGACCGTTTCCTACGACAGCAGAGGATGAAAGTCCATCAAGGAAGATCAGCAGACTCCCAATTCCTGAGTCTATGAGAGGTGAACCTGCACGGAACTTCATGCAGGACACTGAGGATGTGAGCCCAAAGCGTCAGAAGACAGCTGAAGCAGCCAAGCCAGCAACCTCAGTGGAGACAGAACGACATGCACCAGGTAGCAGCTCAGTGACGACTTTGCCACAAGGGTCATTGAAGAGAGAACTGTTTTCATTGCCTTGGGATGCTGAAGATGATGAGAAGCTGCGAATGAGTCCCAAGAAGAAGGTGCGAGCCATTCAAGAAGAATTCCCAGGAGGTGATGACCTGCTGGCAGAAGAAATTTTGCAGTCAGCCCTAAACGATGTGAGTGAAGATGAAGAAGGAGAAGGTCATGCAAAAGAACGACCTCCAGATGTGTCAGAGGAGGAACTGGCAGCCTTGGATGATGAGGCATGCCGCCACGAAGAACGCCGCCTGGAGCAGATGGGAGTTCTGGAGAAGGTGAAGGATGGCGAAACCGACGAAGAAGGTTCCTATGTCCTCACCAGTAAGATGGTGATCACCTGGAAGTTCAGAGATGAGCAAGGGGGCTGGTTCAGGAGAGCTAGATTGGTTGGACGACAGTTCAAATGGAGCGTTTTCACTGAGGACTCCTTTGCGCCAACCTCAGCTTCAGTGGTGGTCAGGATGTTGCTACGTCTACAAATGCAGACAGGCTTAGCTCTCTATACCCTGGACGTCAAAGATGCCTTTTTGCTCATGGATCAACCAGCTGATGAGAAGGCCATGATTGTGACCAACAACGGCAAATACAAGTTGAAGAAGAATTTGCCTGGTCAGAGAAACGCAGCAGCACAGTGGTTCAAAGGATTCTGTGCAGTGGCCAGGGACTATGGCATGGTGCAAGATGTCATGCAGCCGACCATGATGAAGAAAAACCAGAAGGCCCATGATGAAGGTGGTGGTCGACTGTTCCTCACCATCCATGTCGATGATTTGCTGTTGATTGGTGATGAAGAAGAAGTTGAACGATTCATCAGCTACATGGAACAAAAGTCCTGGAAAGTGGAGAAGCGTGGTCCACTATACCAAGGAAACTTCAGCTACCTCAAGCGCAACATGGAGATGATCGAGAATGGCATTGTGATCCGGCCGGACAAAGAGCACATCAAAGCATTGGCCAAGGTGACCAATGTGGAGAATCGAAAATTCCGGACTACTCCGGGAGACAGCAACTTCACAAAGCTGAGCAAGGATGATGAGCCAATGGCAGACGAAGATGTGACGAAGTACAGGAGCGCTGTTGGAAAGATCTTGTACATTGCCCCAGATCGCCCTGACATCCAGTTCGTGGCTCAGGGACTAGCCAGTTTGATGCAGAAGCCAACCAAGAAGGCTTGGAGGGCAATGCAACATGTGAGCTCCTACTTGTTGGGGACCATTGACGAAGGCATTTTGCTGGAGCACGGTCCTAAAGGCAGAAGTGTCCTGAATGTCAACGAGGACACGCATGAATGGGAAGATGACTCCAAGGCCAACTTGCTCGAGGTGATCTGTGACGCCGACTACGCAGGGCAGCAAGCTACAAGAAAGTCAGTGAGCTCAGTGCAGCTGTACCTGAATGGAGGACTGATGGAACCCTATGTCAGATGTCAAAGATGCATAGCACTTTCCTCTGGCGAGAGTGAATATGTGGCCATGGTTGGAGGATGCAGCGAAGGATTGTTCCTGAAGCATGAGAGAAAGGAGAATGAGGACAACGAGGAGACATGGTGGATTCGGCCATTGCTCACACTGGTATGTCTAGCAGTGGTTGGAGCCTTGAGCTTGACAAGATGGCTATGGGAGAAAGGAAGACAGTGGTTCAATGGAAGACGAGTCCACGATGATGGAAGTATGGCAAGACAAGAACCAGAAGAAGAGGAGCAGCCGCAAGAGCCAGATGAAGAGATGGACATTGAGAAGGTGAACATGCAGTGGCAAATTGTACGTTTGGAAGTGGCCATTGCAGAAAAGGATGAGTACCTGAAAGAGATGACTGAAGAGAAAGACAGGATGATGAATGAATACCTGAGGTTCGCAGACATGAACGTCAACCTCAGGGGTCAGCTTGATGATCTTCGAGAGGAGAACTTGGGACTGACCAATCGACTCCTACGAGGAGGTGGAAGTCGTGATGCAAAGGGAGAAGAGATTCGAAGGCTTGGTGAAGAAGTCAAGCGAATGAAAGAAGCCAATGATCTGCTGAAGGCACGCATTGGTGAGATGAAGCAGGAAGCCAACACGATGACGAGACAAAGTCTCAATGAAGTGAAGTTTGTGATGGACCGAAAGAGATGGTACATCACTCAGTCAGGTGAACGCTATCACGAGCAAGACTGTCACTTCACGGCTAACAGAGCTGTGAGACAAGTCAAGCATGCAGTCATTGTGTGTCTGAAACCATGCGGGCCGTGACAGAATCTAGCATGAATCACATGACATAGCTAGGTCAGATGGTATCAGACACGCATTGACATGCACTCGAACTGTTCAGGCTCAATCAAGGTGTGAAAATAGGAGTGCACCGCTTTTCATTGAAGCTAAGCAGAACCAAAAGTGATGTTGAGTTCCTAAGAAAACACCGGGGAAGGTTTAGACGTGTTTGTTGGCAACCCCAGGGCTGCCAGGGATAGGTTATTTTGTGTAGGGTAAGCGTGTTCCACGAGTTTGTTTCCGCATGAAGAAAATCAAGAAACAATCCTTTCCAAGTCTCTTCTCCGTGCCAGAGACAAAGGTTTGAGCACCAGCAATACTGGAAAGGAAGGTTTTCTGGATGCTAGTTGCAATCTAGAAAACTGATCTGACTTGGTTGTCGGTCTTTTTCCTCAGTTTCGATCCATTTGAGTATTTATTTACTGAATATTGCGGCGGGTATTGAGTGTCCTGGATTACACCAGATTGGAGATGCAAAGCAGGATATCCTGCGTAGCTCGCTTTTGCATTATTACGCCTTAGCACACGGACTTGACCTTTGCTTAGGTGCAATCATGATTGCAGTTGTCCATTTTCCAATTTTCTCGTCAAACTTCAATTAGAATTTGTAATCCTCCAGACAGGTTACCAACATGCCAAACATGTGGTCATTCTGCATCATCTCCAGCAGAAACCTAAATTTGCAATTCAGAAACGATGCCTCGCAGTATACTTAAATTGAACACAGATCCATACACATGCAGATACTGTATATAGGCTGACTGTTCTTTATCTCCATGAGTCCATGTGTAGTTACATGGTGTATTTGGAATTCATTTCAATGCTTTGAATACAGACAGGCTCCTCCGAGAACTCAGTGGGGCTCTCAGAAATTGGAATCTAGGCACGACGAGACTACAAAATATGAACTTGGAAGGCCAATGCAAGACAAAAGGTGTGTGTTTTTATCGTGTGGCAAACGACCTATAAGGCTGGCCCAGTATTGTCTTTACGCTGGATGCATGGGAGAATGAAAAGGAGAAGCTGCTCGTGACTCAGTTGATAGTACTCCTTCCTTTTGCACATAATTAGTAGCACGTATGCCAAACATGTTTATCCACATTGATTGTGTGTTTGCAAGGCGCTACGTGGTGATGCCGTTGCTGGCATTGCATGCAAGTTTGAAGTGTCAAGTTCTTGCGGAGAAGCTCAAAATGCGTGCGCCAGGAAGGAGGAAGTCTATCACATCGAATTGAGACAGCAAGAGAAGGCGGCCATTGTGATTGTCCATGATTTTCCTCAGACTCAGTGCAAAACTTGGAAAACACAAATCTTGGAAGTTCAAGGAGCAGAAGAAGAAGGGTATTCAGTGGACCGCGTGGCGGACTGGTGAGCCGTGCAGCATGAAACCAGCAAAGTCCAACTTGTGCTTCCATACAGCAGAGCAGCCACTGCGACTAGGTTCGTGCAGACTCTTCATGGCTTGTCCTACTTGCACTGGCGTGGTGCTAGGGGCTCGGTAGTAATCTTTGAGCTAAAGAGCCGAACAAAGTCTAGACGAATTACACAAAGCATGTGTAAATGAAAAAATGATCAAATAGCAATAAGACAATTTATACAACTTCAGCTCTTCCCGTAAGGTAATTCATCGGGACATCAAGCCGGGCAATCTGCTCATCGGCCAAGACAACCGTTTGCTGCAGGTAACTCGCTTGTCGTCCAAAGGAATGAAGTGCAGAAGAAAGATTGCCTTTTTTTGGTGGGGAGTAAGCTGTAGAGGTAGTAGCTAGGTAGCTAGTAGTAGCATGTAGTAGCTAGGGAGTCGCTAGTAGATGCTTGTAGCTTAAGTAGCTACTACTTAGGACGCAGGATAGCTCATGCTTCTCAAGGAAGCTCCCACCCGCTGCCTTTACACTAATGACTAATAACTTGGTTTCTAGATTTTTGGGAAACTTAACATTATATAGAACTTGTATGAACGTGTAATTACATCATGGAATGACACCCGCTGCCACTAATGATCTTTTCTGGGCTTCTTTTGCCTTGCATTGGAACAGTCAAACAGAGTGGGAACCTGTGGCCTGTGGGGACGAGTGATTGGCTCTGCGATTTACGACTTCTTGTTTAAGTTGACCACCATTCTGTCAGAAGGAACGAGGAACCCTGAATCATACCTCCAACAAGCAGAGTCGGCACTTCTAGACAAATTTAGAGTCCACAAAATGAATTTGTATTCTCAGTACCTACTCACTGGACTGGATCAACCGGCTCCACGGAAGGTTCACTGATCAATGTACGATGTAAAAAACTACAGGGAACAACGATGCTTTTGTGCCTTCGTGCGTTTGGGTGTGTGTGTGTGTGTGTTTTTGTGGTCCTTGTTTGGATCATACCTTGCACAGCCTTGCAGATTGGTGACCTTGGTAGCGCGATGCTCCTACCAGGGACAGGGCAGAAGCCTCACGCGAACCTATACGTGTTCATAGGAATGTTGTTGTTCGTTTCTTTCATTCTTGTGTCCTTTATGTTGTTTTGACTTTCCGTGTGCAAGGCCATTCCCGAACCCGCACGCCAAAGTTGTTGCACCTGTCACAAGCCTTTGCCTCGGCTATCCAATTCCTCGCTTCACGTTCCAAGATTCCAAGAGTTGGCAAGAGTCCTGAATCTTGAGCCTTGCATCATGTTGCATCAGGTCCTCAAGGAGGTGTTACCAACGCTTACCAAGCCTGACTGAGGCCCTTCCTATGCAAGTCCGGAGGCATTGTTGCAGGAGGGAGTTCCACAAGTTTAACGCATTTTACTCCTGCTTTGTACCCTGCACGCTTTCACTTCATGCCCACGCAGGAGACTCACCTGGCAGCCTCAGATGTTTGGTGTGCAGTTTGCTAAGCTTTTAGTTTGCAGGCATATGCGGCAGATTTAAAGAAACAATCAGGGATGTCGACATACAGGTGGGAGCGTCTTTCTTTGAAGTGCTCACGTTAGAGCCTCAGCTTTGCTTAAAGGGGCAAGGATTCAAAGTCCAAACCTCTTCGTACATGAGAATTTGCTTCAGGCTTCATCCTCTTTTTCCACAAGTGCAAAGCATGGCAGAGGCACAGGTACGCATGGTCCATCGTCCCTCCGTAGCTTGAGAAAACTCCGAAGATTTCAATGGCCTGGTAAGGAACATGTACGTGCATTTGATCCTTCCATGGCTGCTCCAACAAATGGTGCGTCAGGGCCTTGAGGGATAAAATGAAAGGACTCATGACCTCAACAAAAGCTCTGGCGGCACAACCACTGACGAACTGGAATCTAGGACCAACTATGCTTTGGCTGCGCTGTCAACCCTCAATCAGCTACGCTTCCTCCTCAGTCTTCCATAACGTATATACATATAATGTATATTATATGAAGAACATCCAACTAGCGTTGAAGTGTCTGAAGCAGTCCAGCTTAGCGGTTCTTGAGCTTGAGCCTTGGATTCATGCAGTTGCACCGCAGAGCGCTCTTTTGCATCCATTCGGCCACTGTCCGTGGTAGGCGGAGCCCCGTTCATTCGGAGCCTCTGCCATCCGCGCTGCTGAGCGCGGTCCCTGCGCGCTCCGTCCAGCGGCGGTGGCTCGGCGCCGGCTGCCCCGCCTGCGCCTTCGGGCGCGCCTTCGCGCATTGCACGCGGCCCCTGCGCTGCTGCCGGCCTGCGCCGGCCCTACTTGCTGCTCGAGCCCTACTACAAGTTTGAGCTCTATACTTCGTGGCTGCCTCCGAGTCCGGCTCCGGCGTCATCTCGACAGACCAGCACGGAGTCCCACAGTATGGAGGTGATGTTGAAAGCTTTGCGGAGTGTGAGTAAAGGTGCTGGGATTTGTTTTTTGGCCGTGAAGGCCAAGACAGTCTACAGATTGTCACCCCCATACACCTTCGAGCTGGACTCTCCTCCGTGGCCTGTGGCGCTGTTGGAAAGCTCACCCATGCTCAGTTGAAGACCTCCAAGGAGGGAAAGGCCACAGAAGATGGGATGAAGTTGCTGCTGGCTACGCTCACGGAGAACATAGCTGCAGAGAAGCCTGTCAGGACCAACGAGCTGTTCCTCTTTGCGTTCTACTCGCCACAGGTGTGGCGACGAGCTGGTGAGAACATGCAGCAGTACATCATCCGCCGCGAGCATGACTTTGCTCGGCTGAAGGAAGCCAGTGGCGAGACTCACGTCAGCGACAACCTTCGCTGCATGATGCTGCTGATCTTCTCAGGTTTGGATCACCAGCAACAGTTCGGAGTTCTCTCGAGCGTCGGCAATGAGTATGACTTCAAGAAGGTGAGCCACGCACTCAGGATTCAATATCCTCAAGCCTCTGGCAAGCCTGCGAGCCGCCGGGACTACTTGGGCGCATCTCGCACCCCAAGACAGCCATGGAGCCCCTCAGACATGAGGTCAAAATGGAAAGGCGGTGGTCGGAGTCGGCAAGTGCTCGCAGCTGAACCTGCCGATGAGCATAAGTATGAACAACCTGGTGAGGAGGCCTACTATGAGGATGAGTATAGGATGATGGCGACGAAAGCGATGATGACTTCCTCAACGTCCTCGCGACAGAGCTTTCTGACTCTTCTGAGGACTCAGCCTTGGTCAATGCCTTCGCTACCGTTGCTCAGTTCCGCCAGCAGAAGAGAAAGACTGGCAAGAAGGGTTCAACTTCGTCCGGACCATCCGGCCCCTATCCCTTCAAGGCCACTGGTGAGCTCAGCTTCGACGCCAAGGCCAAGGAACAGGGAAAGTCAGTTGTCAGGTTCCTCAAGAGTGTGACCCATTGCACCGCTTGCAACCAAAATGGGCCACTGGGTTGGTGACCCAGAGTGCCCCAATGCCAAGAAAGGTGGCAAAGGGAAGTCAAGTGGAAAGCCTGGAGGCAAGAAGAAGGGCTTCAAGAAAGGCTCGCAGTCGCTCTACGTGCAAGGTGATGGCAGTCCGACTTCACACGCGTCGGAGACCTTCTTTGTGCTCCACGGTGCCATCGAGTCGGCTGATGAAGCTGATGCACAATGGACTGCAAGAAAGAATCTCTCGAGCGACAACGCCCTCTTCGCCACTGACACCAAGGACATCACTTTCCAGAATCTCAACGAAACACAGAATGCCAAGGACCTTGACACCTTTGAGGTCCTGATCAATGACGACTTGCCTGACATGTGAGGACCACGCCAGCAAGCCAATGGAATCGACCACCCTGCACTCCATGCCTGAGCTTCAGCAGGGGACCAACTCAGAAGAGTACGCTACTCAGGTCATGATCCACGCCTTGAACAACCAGTCCATGGCGCCCTCAGTCTACAAGTTCGCCTTCTACCTCTATGGTCGAGTGCGTTTGGCTTGGGCTGCAGCGACAAGGATCATGCAAGGTGACACACCAAATCCTGCAAAGAGATCAAGCTCACCGAATGCCGAATGACATGGCAACCGCTCGCATTCTTCGAGTACCAGTCCGCTTTGCCGAGACAGATCCTCGTTCTGTCCACCCCTTCGACTGTGAGCGCATGATGGTGGACGATGCTTCCTATGAGGTCTATGCTCTACAAGCTGAGGACAAGCCTGCATGGACTGGCCATCTTAGACTCCGGGTGCTCCCGCACCATGCAAGGCACCAAATGGGCTGCTTCCTTCGAGGCTGAGCTCGAAAAGATGAACGTGAAGCCACAAGCGTTGGCGGTGCCACTGAGTGCAAGATTGTGAAGGTGTATCCCGTAGCCATTGGAGGAGTACAAGTGAGACAGAAGGCAATCTGCCTATGTCGTGCCCCGACCTTTCATGACCGCACTTGGCGCAGTCATCGACTTTACCGCCAACATTGTCTCGTTCAAGAGGATCGGTATCAAAGACCTGCCACTCGAAAGAACTTCTCGAGGTCACCTTGCAATCGACTTGTTGAAGTTCGAGGATTGCAAGGACATCCTGGATTGGCGTGAACGGCGACCTCTTTGATCCGACAGCTGATGATGAGCCGTTCGAATCTCCGAGTCCAGGAGATGAGCAGCCAAGTGATCCTACCTGTCCGATGGTGAGCCTGAAGATGCCCTATATGAAGGTGAGGTCTGTGAAGACTTCGAGGCCTTCCATGCCCAGAACTTCACCATCCGAAAGAGCAGCAATCGCAAGTCCAAGAAAATTGCTGCTATGGACAGAAGTCTAGATGGTGATGATCTCACCCGGGCACAACGACTCCGCGGTGATACCACCGCCTATCCAAGGCAACCACCTGTGGGCAAGACCTGGATCAAACAGATCTTTGCTGGTCAGATGGGCGTCGCCCTGCTTGCCGCGCTTTTTGGCATGAAAGTTGGTGCCCCACTGAAATTTCATCGACTTCATGGGATGCAGGCACTTCACAGGGACGCCGCCAGTTCTACGCTGATCTGCAGATCGAGGACCCCTACGTTGTCACCGTCACTCACCCCTGTGGCCCTTGGTCAATGGAGTCGCTTCAACGTCGCAAAAGGTGGATCTGCAGCTCAGACTGTCAGACTGTCCTAGACCTCTGAGAACAAGCAAGTACCAGCTGGACATCATGGGCTGGATTACCTTGGAGCATCCAAGTCGACCGAGGCAAAGAGTTCATGGCTCGCTTCGCTGACTGCTTGAAGGACTAGCATCGAGTCATCGAGCAAGAAGTGATGCCCCTGGAAGCTCCATGGAAGGTGGCAAGTGTGAGAAGGCTGGTCATCTGTGGGAGGAGTGGCAAAGGGTGCGCCATGAATGTCAGATCGATGATCTTGGCACACCTCAGGTTGCAACGACCCAGACTCGCAATGCCTTCCCACGTACCAGCGGTTACTCTCCAACCCAATGGGTCCTTGGAGTACCAGAACTACGTCTTCCTGGTTCCTTGCCCGATATAGTCAGGAGAACCAGCAACTTGAAGCGACGGAAGCGGCCGAGAATCCTCAGTCCGCTATGTGCCGCACTCTCCAGATCCGTGAAGCAGCTCGGATTGCACAGATCCGGATGGACTCCGACTCTCGCGTCCGAAGAGCCTTTCTGCATCAGTCCACACCGACAAGAGGACCTTTCCCAGTTGGTTCCTACATCTACTTCTACAAGAAGTAACCTGGCGCAGCCCTACCTGGTCAACGGCCGTTTGCATGGTATGGGCCGGCTCGGGTCATCGGCGCAGAGCTCTGCAACCCACGTCGCCTTGAGGTTCCTGAAGATCCCACGGAAGGTCAACCTCATAGCTACTGGTTGCGATATGGACCGTCTGTTGTACTTGCCACTGGAGAGCAGCTTCACTTTGCTTCAGATTCAGAAGATGAACTTCTTGCCGCGCACACCGTGCCACAATATGCAATCCAATCTGGTTCTGACCGTGGCGCCTGCAACTATGTGGACCTCCGAGTTCCTGACCAGCTTGGCCCTGCCAACCTGGCGGGGGGTGGTTCGTCGGTCAACTTCGACTTTTGGCAGGCCCACACTGATGGCCGCGTGATTCGAGTTCACGTTCTCTTCTGCCTCGCCGACAACTCTTTCATCCTGTCTTCTGGCTGTCCCGCGCCACTTGAACAACTACAAGATTGTCGCATCACCGAAGTGATTTACAGCGTTGACAACTCACTCTCACGGACACCGTTGTGGACAACTGGCGCGCTTCAAGGCGGGAAGATCAGAGAGAGCTCAGGGCTGAATGGGTTGGAGAAACAATCTTTTGGAAGGCAAGTGCCACAGCGCCACCATTGGTCGCGGCGATGCTTCCGATGCCTTCTGAGGAAACACCTCCAGCACCACCGGCAGCACCGATACCATTGCCACAGACACCAACTCCGATGTCAAGCATTCTGGAAGCACCACATAACCACCGATCGGCTGGCGCCCACAGCATGGCCCCTTTGGGGGCACCGGCACCACGGCAGCAGCCGAACCAGAACCGCAGCCGACACCGGCGATGTCCGCGACGGAACCACCACAGGTTCCCCACCGTCTATGTCTACAGCAACAGGCATTCCGTGATCCAGATCGACTTGATGGATATGGCCCACAGTCACCATCGAGACGACGCACTCAAGAGTTCACTGGGCCATACTTTACCAGTGACATTGTCCCTGACGAGGTCAAGTCCGTCACCAACCGAGTTTCGGACAAAAGGTTCATCGAGCTCGCTGAGGATGAACTTGGTCGACAAGCCGAGTCAACAGATGAGGAGATTGAAGACAACATCAAGAACCCCATCCACAAGACCTTTCTGACTGACAAGGCAGCCGTGCTGTCGACCTTGATGCGGAGACCCGCCAAGTTCGAGGTCCCCATGGCGAAGGAATGGGATTCCTGGCAGCGCTTCAGCGCTGTCGAAAGGCCAGAGCAATGGCCATGGCGCTGAGGAAGAAGACCGGCAAGACCAAGGAGCAGATCGAAAAAGATCACCTTTGAAGCCAAGTCCCGCATGTTCGTACAAGGATGTCAAGAACAAAATCCTGGCGTCAGGTCGGATTCTCCAACAGCTTCATTGCTTGCCTTCAACCTGGTGACCTTCCTCGCCGTCATCAAGGGTTGGACCCTGGCAGCATTTGACGCCAGCACAGCTATATACCTGCAGTCCCAGGGCATCTCGCGATTGCACACCCTGAGGCCACCTCGTCCTCCGCCTCGAGTTTCCGAGTCAGACCTCTTCCGCGCCAAAGGCTCGATCTACGGCACTAGAGATGCAGGTATGCCACCGCCAAAGGATGGATCACAAGCCGCCTCGAGCCTGCGCTGTTCTAATTACATTTATGATGTTGGAGATGGTTCATTGGTTGGCGCCATGATCTCCCACGTTGACGACCTTTACTGCACCGGCCATGGAGAGAAATATGAGCAGGCCATGAAAGAGCTCACTACCGAGATTCACCTCAAGCAGAAGACAGGTGAGTTCAGGTTCTGCGGCAAGAATGTCACGCAGCTTGACGATGGCCATGTCACCCTGGAGCAGGAAGATGCCATTTGGGCCCTCGAGTACATCGTCCTTGACACCAGGCGCCGCAAGTGCTCCAATTTTCTTTACTGTGGCAGAAAAGAGCTCCTTCAGAGCCCTCATTGGCTCATTGGGCTGGATCGCCCGACAGACGAGGCCTGACGTTGTGGTCCAGGTCTCAATGGCTGCGCAGCAGATGGGACATCCAACGGTGAGAGACATCATCGACCTCAACATAGCAGCTTCGTGAAAGGCCTGACTTCCGCTGGACCTTCAAGCCAGTGCCTTGAGGACTCCATCGTCTACTGCGTGGCTGATAGCAGCTTTGCAAACAACGAGTCCCTGAAGAGCTAGCGCGGCTGCTTGATTGGAGTGAATTGGCCTGATGTTGAAAAGGGTTTTGAAGTTCCCCTCTTTGTTTTGGCGTTTGCCGCTCCACGCTGGCTGCTCAAGCGAATGGCTTCCTCACTGGAGTGGAGGCTGCTGACTACTTGCGCTCCATCCTCGTGGAGATGCAGCGCCCCAACGTGTGCCTTGCTGACTTGGCCGACCACTTCGCGCCGAAGAAGCTGCAAGCTTTCACTGACGCCAAGTCTTTAGAGGCCGCCCTGAAAAAGGACGCAGGCCAGCCAAGTGACAAGCGTGTGAAGGTCTTGTTGGCCCAGGTCTGCAGATGGGGAACTGCGAAGACACAGTTCATCCAAATGCTTGCCGACGTGATGACCAAGGTCGGCGCTGAGAGAGAGCCATTGATGGAGGCCCTCACTCGGTGTGCATGGCAGATGGAAGCCACGAATGCGGCAAAGGCCCGGAAGGAGGCCATCCGCGCCGGACGACGCCGGCGAAAGGCCGAGGCAAGATCCGCAAAGCTGAGGACGGGTGAAAAGCATCCAAGTAGCGTTGAAGTGTCTGAAGCAGTCCAGCTTAGCGGTTCTTGAGCTTGAGCCTTGGATTCATGCAATTGCACTGCAGAGCGCTCTTTTGCTTAAAGGGAAAAAGGGTACCTCGCATCCGTTCGGCCACTGTCCGGATTTTGATTGTATATATATATATATGATTATATCATGTGCTTGATTATGATTGAGTCTATTATTACTCAAGAGATGCTTTATCAACATAGATACTTTGGACATCGTATTAGGATGTTCATCCTCATCCAGCGCAGCCGCTGTTGAACTCGCTGGAGCACTGTTCCGGGCCCAAGTCAAAGCATGCCCCTTGCACTGGTGGGCTCTGTGTTTTTGCATCGGTGTTGTGTAAATGGTTGTTCCAGACTGTGTAATCGAACCCAAGTACTATACCTGCAAGTGAAGGCATTGTGTATGTGGACCTTGATCCCCTTGCACTATTTTGCACCCTGATATTTACTTCTAGCTTTCATAGCGGAGCATAGAGAGCGAAGGCGTCAAAGACTCGTCGACAAACTCTTGAATCGTTTTTTTGGGATAAAACAAACTCAATTTCCAACTTCGAAGCTTTGTCGGGATGGCCGGGGATTGCTCAAATTGTTCCTTCACAATGGCTGGCCGCACTGCCACGTCCCCGTTTCGTACAATTGCATGCAAACCTTACCTGACGCTTTAGTGCTAGTTGGCGCGAGGGGTGTGCAGTGAACCACACTGTACAGGAACAGCATCGGATCATGTCCGCATGTGTGTCTACCCCAAGAAATGGTTGGGCCCAGGTGCCACAAGTGTTCCAACAATTAACATGTTGCAAACATGTGTACACAAGTTGCATCATGTTGTCAGGGCTGAAACACATTGTTTTGGCTACCTTGTAAGTGTTTGCCTCTTGTTGAACAATGTGAATGCGTTTTGGGAGAACAGTGTATGGTCCCCAATGTATGTTTCATAATCTGCCGTGTTACACATGTTCTATCGAATACAAACGGAAAACAAAGAGCGATCACTCAAGACCAAGGCCTGAGCTAGTTCGGCCAGATTTCATGCAAAGGACTGCGTGAGTTTGCCACATGCGATGCATGTTGACAACTCGGATTCTTTCCCACAGGCCGACTGCTGCCACTGTAGCATCTCGCAGGGAGCCCATTATTTGACCACTAGGCTTTTCAAATGTGCTATGAGACGAAATGAGGGTGAGATGGCGTGTTTCACTCAGGATACTTTTGCATGAAAAGGGTCAAAACCCTCCTGAAGGAGACTGGGGCTGTGCTTGGTGCCCAGACAAATTTGGAAAGCAAAAACAGATTTGATTAGACATCTACGTCGTTACGGCATACTGGCATACCTTGTCCATCCTGAGACAAAAGTGACAAACATAAAATTCAAAAGTTAAAGGCTTTGTCCGACTCTGTCCTATCATTATTGCATCACGATCCTCGCTTTTGAGTGATCTTTGAAGGCCAAAAGGAATGCTTAGCGGTCACATCGAGGACTACAAGACGGTCTTGAAGCAATCCCAGGTGCAACATGGTGCAACACCCAAGTGAATACTGTGGGCATACCAAATATATATATATATATACATATTATAAGAATAGCAATAATAAGATATAATAAGTAATAATAACAATATCAATAACATATGCGAACGAACTTGTAAATGTCATAACATTCGTGGCGCAGCTGTGGATAGATTAGTTTGGGGCGAGGCAGCCAAGAATACAGCCCCAGATGCAGCTGGCGTATCACCTGCCTGGCCCTGAAAGCTTCTGTTCGCTGGCCTTGTCTTGGATGTGCATCCTCACAAGTGGCATTTACGACAGCAAACCTCGCTAGTGATCACTGCTAAGTCAATCTATTTAATGGGTCAGCCGGGCACCCGCGGGCTCCGGCCGACCCGAAGGGAAGAGGAAGGAGAAGAAATCGTTTTCTCTCTTTGTCTCGCTCTTGCTCTTTCTTTTTGCCTTCCCTGTCCCTTTCTCTTTCCCGTTCGCTTTCCTTTTCGCTTTCTCTTTCTCTTGCCCTCCCTTTTGCTTTCTTTTTCGCTTTCTTCTTCCCTGTCCCTTTCGGCTTCTCTTCCTCTTTCTCTTTCCCTTTCCCTTTCAGTTTCTCTTCTCTTCTTTCTCGTCAGCTTTCTTTTTCTTTCTCTCTGTCTCTGCCTCAGTCTCCGCGTCTCTCTCTCTTGAAACACCCTGCTATGTTGGGCCCATGCCCGGGCCTATGTGCCTATGTGGCCAGGCTGGCCCAAGTTGAGCCAATGTTGGGCCCATTTTTGCCTGTGCGGTTTTTATGTTGAGCTCAACGGGAAGCAGAAACACAAAATGCATCAAAGTGCTAATTCTAATAACTAATAATGCTAGGCGATCAAAAGCAACAAACAGCAGAGAGTGCTAATACTGCAAAGCAACTCGGGCAGCATGACACCAAACACGTAGCAGAAAATCGGAAGGCCACAAAACACCGTAAAACGCAGCACTTCAGTGGGTCGGCGGCTGCGGTGGCTCCCGCCTTAAACGAAGCTGGTTTTAGGGGGGCCAGCGCCCGCACACCAAGGACCACTAAGGGTTGTTGTGAGGGGGCGGGTAGTTGTCGGCACGATCCGTGTGTTTTGGGACCACGAGCACCTCAACCTGCGATGAAGGGAGGAAAGAAGGCTATTTGGGAGGAATGAAGGATGTTTTCCCCCAAGTGCACGCGTAGTTCAGCGGAAGTACCTGAAAATCTCAAGTCCCAAGTCATAATGGAAGAGCTGAAGAGGCCAAAAACCCACAAGAGCTAGGTCATGAGCCTTTGGATAGAAAAGCCACAGAAACACACCCTAGCCAAGCCCATGTGGACTAGTGAGACCACAGTTGGGGGCATGCCTGGAGGAAAGAGAACACCATGACATAATGACATAGGTTTTTTGCCAAAAGTTACAAGGCCTATGTAGCTTCAGGCCCTGAAGTCTAATTCATGTTGCAGGAGTGTGGGTGGTAGCGTGAAGTGCCTCGCTGTGGCCAAAAGCTCCAGTGGATGTGCGCATTTGCGTCGAACAACTGAGGGTCAAGTCGGCGAAGGCAAACTATTTTGGGAACCATCGGATCATTTTTGGTGCGTGTTTTGGGGCGCTACCGAAGCTCGATACTCATCGATATTCGATATGATATATATATATATATATAATATGGGCTCACTTTCGAGGAGGAAGCCACCAAAGTTCTCGCATGGACCCGCGCACGCACCCACGGGCGTACAGAGGCGCGCGCGGGTCCATGCAGGTTTCCATTTGGGGGGGGGGCTCCCGAGACCGCACCACCATGCCAAATCCTGCTCAACGCTCTTCGCGGGAAGAACATCGTGACGGTCAGCAACGAATCTGGAATTGAGAGTTGTGATGACATTTGTTAATTTTGGGGCAGATTTTTAGTAATGTGACAGGCGACCGACATCACCAGCACTTACGGGAGACCCTCTCAGGAACACACCGGCCCCGCTCCACTTACGCCCACGCTCATCGCTGTAGACTCGGATCGGCGGATTAGGAAATTAAGATTAGAAATTGCCTGAGAAACTGCCGCTAAGTGGTGGTGCAGATGGGAAGTGGTAACCAAACCCGGGCTGATCCAATCCACCAGTTAGTCTCTTTGATATTTGCCTTGGTCTAGGTTGATTCCCCAGTTGCTCGTGGACGTGGACCACGCCCTCGGCGTGAGATGCTGTAAGTGCGACTTTTGCAGTCAACTTTTTTTTGCTATTTTAATGTGCACCCGAAGTGGTTGGCGCATCCTTCACTCAGATTGTCAGCTGCGACTGGGGCAGTACTTGTCGCTCGTCGCTGTGCAGATTACATTCATACGAAGGGAGCCTTACGTGTACAAATGCTTCCCACTACGAAAGAGTGTTGATGTTGACATCCATCGCGAATGGCAAAATAGATCAAATCCCAGGCGCAATTTCAGACCAAATACCGAATCTAAATCGAATGCTCTCTGAAAAATCATTGTTCAGCCGCTCGGATTGAAGAAATAGATCCTGTATGACATGGGAGGAGAAGGAGTTAGATTTTTTGCTAAAGAAGTCAAGTAGCCATTTGTTTGCTCAAGAGCCAGAAGTCCTCGACATCCGCACGACGCAGAATGGTCATTGGTCAGGTTTGAAAGGTGGAAGTTTGTGAAACCAGCAAAACGGCACCAATGGCTATCATATGCAGTATTATTAAGCTATCGTACGTGTGTCATACATGAATCAAGCGCTACTTATGCAACTACAAGATGTGAGAATCTTGCAGATATCCTTTGTCGCAGCTTGGTTCTGGGAAGGCATTTTGGCACTGCGCCATATGGCTATAATATAAAGGTTCTTATTGTGTGCTGGGTCAGATCTAGGTTGATTAGCTGGCGATGGTTGAATCGAACGCATGTGCAGCTTTGGAGGCTTGTGGGCAGTATGTTCGGAAAAACGCCGGAGCTCAAGCGCAGGTTACTGTTTACTATATTTAGCACTTTTGGTGAAGTGGCGACTTGCGGATCAAGATTGCATAGATATAACATAGACTGTTTTTTTCGGGCCAACCGTGCGCTCGGCTGTCAACGCACCATGGTAGTGACAGGCACTGATACCTTTGAAATCATTTGAGTCACATTTTTTGGCAAACTGCATTGGGTAAGTGCGATTATATAATTATATAGCTTTTTGGGCGCAGTAGCGATAGCTTGACAGCTAGAGTTGGCACTTGGCGCACACTAATGATGGGTGAGCCATGTCTATTCTTCCTTCATTTTTGCACCATAGATCCGGCGGACCAAGGCTTTCAGGTGTCTAGTCTTGTGAAATATGTGTGGGGTGAGCCGTGTGTCCATGAACCGCCCGCCTATCGCACCACATTGCACCCAACTTTGCCGTCGTACCCACCTGAAGCATCACCTGAAGCACGCTATTCTTTGTAAATTTGTGCATCAAAAGAACCTGCACAGTTTTGGAAGCATTATGGCATTGAGGTCGCAAAGTGCACGGCTGGGATTTTCTAAAAGCGCCACAAGTAACTGAGCAGTTCACCTCACAATGGAAAATGTCCGTTCCATATGGAGCAGCTAAAGATTGCATACATGTTCCGACACCCTGCGGAAAACCAGCGCACCGCCAGTGGCCACAAGTGACCGCTTAAGCGCAAGAAAGATCCAAAGAAAACACAGAACACATGTCATGTGTCCTTCTTGTTTCTTCCTTTCTTCAACTTCCTTCAAGCCTTCCTTCTTGGATCCCTCTACTGAAAACCTCTATGAAGTCCAAGGCCCCAAGTTCCAAATCAGGGGGTAATTCTATAGAATAGTTGTTTGAGCTTGAAGAGACCCTATGCACTTTATAGAAACACAAAATGTAGTCGATGTTTTTCGAGATGTGGTTGCAAGACCCTGTCGCTTTATAGAAGTAAATTGACAGAGTTTTTAGGGCAACCAGTTTTAAAGAGGTGGTCATTCTATAGAGAATCACTTCGGACAGAAATACGTTTTCATTATAGAGATGAGAGAGGAGTCGGGCACAAAACGACCATACAAACGAAAACACAACAGGAAAAAGCATCAGAACCCGGGGGCGGATGAGAGCGGATGTTCTTTACATTTGATCATTTGATCTCGATGTGTCTTATGGTGCGCTTGTCAGAGCTTCGAGAAATCAGAGCGAAGTGGCCGCTCGAGAGTGGCCGCAAGTGGCCGCTCCGAGCAACATCAAAATGCGCGTCATGTCCCGCTCTCTTCATTATCTGCATCATGAAACAAATTGTTGGCCACGTGGTGTCCGATTGGTTCATTGATCTGGGCAGGTCCTTCTGGTTCTCGGAAAGAAGGTGCAACATTTGTTTCAAGTTTCAACGCAGGTTGCCAGCGAGGCTCCACCTTTCCTAGCAGCTGCTAGCCTAGGCCAATGGGAGGCCGCAGTCGCATTCCTGCGCTGCAGAACTCTTTGTTGGCTGAACATGTCCATGAGACACGTAGAATGCACTCGTGCAGCACCATTTGATGAGCAGATTTTGCATGTTGCTTGTCGTCGTACTCACACGCGGATCTTTATCTATCTAGCATGTGCTGTCCGCCATTCGGGTTACCCTTTGGATCCCTTTGGCCTCTTTTCGAAGGTATTTGGGAGCTTAAAGAATCGAATGGAGAATAGAAGTTGATGAAAGCCTCATTTGTTGCTGTCAGTGCATTCCGAATTGCACTGTTGCGAAAAGGTGTGCCAAGAGACTTTGAAGAAGCAGCCTGCATGTTTGGAGGCTGGCGCTTGAAGGGTTGGTGGAGCACAAAACTGATAGGCTCAGACGCTTGACTTGGGCACTTTGCTGCAGGTTTGTGATTGGGAAGGGCGCACTGCCTTGATATTGGCAGCAAAATCAGGGCATCTCAAGGAGCGAACGCAGCGAATGTGTTGTTGCTCTTCCGAACGGTGTTTTCAATGTTTTTTCAGAGTCAGGTTTGTCAAGTTCTGGTGTCAGCTGGAGCCGACATAGAGGCGACGAAAGACCCTGTCCTCATGTCAAATTAGTGTCCTTGCTTCGAAATCTTCATTAAGGACAGGTCAAAGAGAAACGGTGTGCCTGAGGCGGGCGTCGAGATGCATCGAGGGTGCTTTGTTTGCAGGCCACAGACTTCCATGACAAGACACCTTTGGCTTACGCTGCTGCCGCACATCACACGGAGACCGTGGAGAGAGGTAGTTTGCTGTAAGATGAACAAAGTCAACCAATGCAAAATGAGCGTCAATAAATTGAAGGGGCTTGTGAACATTGTGTCTTAAGATCTTGCAATGTCGCAAGTTGCGATCATGCATGGTGATGTGCTGTAATTTGTCATTTGGTGGTCATATCAGCCGTCCACAATTTCTTACCTGCCCTTCACAAAATCTAGCTGTCAAGTTCGTAAACGAAGAAGAACAGAGAAGTGAACCAAAAATGTGCTTGGTTTGGACTAGTGACTACTAGTATTGTGACACCCCAAAGTAGCCCAACATCGTTTGCCAAAGCGGCCAAAAAGTCAGGAGATCGCCACTTTGCTCTTGGATCATGGAGCAGAGGTTGAGGACTGCGGTTTGCCTTCCTGGGAACGTTTATGAGAGCATTTCATGCATCATGTGACAATGTAAACTTTGAATGCTCTATGACTCTATGTCTCATGCGCATGGTTTGCTTGTACTCTTGAAAGCAAGATGAGCAAGCACGAAACCGTGCAGGCAACAGACTGTATTGTGAGAGATGCTGGTTGCACTGTATTGTAGTTCTCGACCTGCTTTGGTCGCTCTCGTCACTGAGCAACAGGAAAAGCTTCCAACTTCAATACTTCCATCCAGTTTTAGATTTGACAAAGGTCGGACTTCTTTGCGCCCTCTCCGGAATGGCATATTTCTGCTCGAGCTTCGTCGTTCAGCATCCAGTCATTCCACAAGGCAAATTCAGATTATGATTTAGTTGGTGGAAAAGCTTGAAAAGCTTTGTTCCGCTTTGATAAAGTGCACTGACGGGCTTGGATCAGCCATGGCTTTCTCCTCACGACTAAAAGCTACTGCCCTACTTTTTTTGTTATAGATGTTTCTTTTTGCCAGGTAGATTGTCACTGAATTCGTCGGAATTGTTTCACTAGTGAGAGGTTCTCAAGTTTGTTGCTGTACAGACAATATTCGCAGCACACGGCGGAGCCACCCATCCCACAGAAATTTGGGCTGGGATTCGTTCGATACACAAGAACAGAGCCATGAAGCCTTTGGTACCTGCCAAAGCGAGCTGGCAACAAAAGATAAGACCCCCAAAGAGATTCCAGATTTCATCTCCCGCTCCACGAGACCTTTTTGGTCACTGTATGCTTTCAAAAGGACTCGGCAACACAAACAATGAAATGAAGCAAAAAGTCCACGCACAACATTGGCCGCAAACTGCATGGTTGTTGAGAAATCGCAACATTGATGTCCCTATCATCGAATTGTCCTTGTAGCAGGGTGGCTCCCAGTAGTTGGAGGTAGATGACCACGAGGAGTGTATGTATGTAATCTAATCTTATGTTATGTTATGTCACGTTATGTGATGTTATGTATATAATTGTGTGTAAATGTATGTATATGTATGTATTTTATTGTAAATTGTATGTATGTATATATAAAATTCTAGGCGAAGGTCGCCTTGCTGCCCACATTCCAAGAAACCCCCGTCTAACTCAGGTTCACTCCCAGGAGTAAATGGACGAACTCCAGGTGGATAATGGCCATTGAGTAAGGTAGCTAAATCCTTCTGGTGCTTTTCTTGTCTCTTCAACGCCCTTTGCAGCTTCTCAATTTGAAAGAAGCATTGCTGGGAGAGAAGCTCCAACAACTTTCTGAACCAGGTCAGTTTGTGAACCATTCTGGGCATCTTGCTCCGTATCACGTCTGTGTTGGCCACGTCTATTTTCTCGATCACTCATGGATTAAGTCAGGCGCTCGAAAGTCACAGATTGCATACACTGAGACCGCACAGTGTGATAACTGGAAATCACTCTGACAAATTGCACACCGGTGTCAAGGCCACTTTTTGCCAGGCAATGGAACTATCATTAGCAGTCGAGAGACCCTCCTAGGGTGTTGTGAGCGGGGTGGCAACGCTGCGGATATTCCACAGCGCTCACATCAAACGTTTCAGGACAAGCTCTTTAATTTAAAGCTTAGGTCCCTCGGTCCTCGGTAATTGTCATTATTGTTAAGCCGCCTCCTCCCCATCCAACCTCCAAAGATTTTTCCAAGAGTTGCCACAGGCGGAAAGGTTGATTTCCACGGCAATTCCAAAATGGAAATCAGGGGGCAGTTCCCCAAGCACGGGACCACAAGGCAACAGCTTCTTGGGATTGCAAAAACTTGTTAGCCACTGAAGCCAAACAAGCACATTCCCAAACAAAATGGAAAGAAAGGACAAGCCATCTAGTCTTGAGAGCATCCAAAGGCTCCCCAACGTTCTGTCCTTCTCTCATCCACAAATTCCCCTCCCACGCGGTCATGAAGGAAGGGGTTTATGTTATTGATCAGCCTACGAACTACGAACAAAGACTTGTCTAGCCTCATTGTAAGCTGGCACGTGGCTCAGCGGCACTCCAAGAGATGTTGGTTTAAAAGTGTTCGCAGTCGGCCCTTTGGTGCATTTGCAAAGTCGCTTGATTCGGGCTTGCAGTCTCCCAAAAACTCCCAGCTCTCATCTTCATGTCAAACCAAGCTCGAAAAGGTTGGAACTTCATCTCCAAAGAGTTGTGGTTGCCAATCGTCCACTTTTCAGCCATGGTGTAAAAAGCACTGTCACTGTCAGAGAGTTCTCCAGAAAAATTCAAACCCATGCCAGTACTACCACCACCTGCCATACCTGATGGGGGCAGTGTTCAGATTGGACATACTGGTGCGTCAGCAGGAAGTCAATCACGCGCTTGCCTATATCCCGGGTAGCCTGTGGTGGTAAGGTAGTAACTCAGAGCCATGTAGTTGCAGTTCATCGCGAGTTCCGAACATGAAATATATGTCAATGTTCACAAACGCGAAAGGGCTGCGACTCTGACACTGAAAATGGTTCAGCGGCTTCACCAAATCACGTGCGTTGCGCAAAATCGTGTGGAAAACAACGCGACGCCGCCTGCAAGTTGTGAGCAAGCCACACACCCAACCCAGCGAAAGGACAGACACTCCCCCATGGAAGCTGCGGAACGCAACTTGCCCAGCAGGCTTGTGTGACTTTACTGTGACATTTAGCTTCCTCACCAAGTATTGCTTGCCGCTGGCTAGTGACTTTTGCAGAAGTCGGGTCACGCTAGCGTCACCCTTGGCTGTGGCAATGTCTTGGGTCAACACTTTGTACTCCTTGCGAGGTTCTCGAACCCAGGGACAAGATTGCACTGATAGGGCACATACCATTTCTTCTTGAAAATCTCTTGGTGAGAACAGGACAAAGCTTGTTTGGTAACCTGGCAGTAGCCACCATCCTTGTCAGTTAGCACCACTGACCAAGGCGATTGCTCAAGCCACTGCATGGCCATGTTGTCAAGAGAAAGGCGGTTGCGACAGAGACAATTCCGTTTGGAATTCCTGGAAAGCGCACACAGGCCGCCCGCAGTCGCGAAGCAAAAAACTGGTCCAGCATCGTACTTCAGGAGCAACTTCGTCACATGCAGGTCGACGCAAAGTGAGCAGGAGATCGCGGAACCCGAAAAGGAGTCCTGCCACTGCTGCTTCGCAGTACCCACTGCCACTGAAGTTTGTCGCGGAACTCAATGACATGTTTCACGACACCGGCACATGCCACGTGACCAGAGAAACTTTCTGCGAAACTTCCCAGCAAAAGGGCCACATCCCACGGGAGCAACTCTTTGTCAGGATGAAACACGCTGTGTGACACTGAATCATATATGTACGCGTTCTGTCGGAAGTCTTCTGCCTGTAGTAGTAGGACTTGGAGCCAATCCTGTAGAGTGGCGCCACGCATTAGCTTCCGAAATTCCACAGTGACACTGTGCCTTGCCACCTTTGCTATTGTCTTTCCCCTTGCCCTTTGACTACGCAAAGGGTTGTTGCTTTCCTGTTTGCCCTTAGACTTGCTAGCCTGTGTTTGTTGCTGCGCAAGGCTTCGTTGAGAACTTTGTTCTCCCCAGCCAGCTTTCCCTAAACCTTTCTTGCCTTGTGCTTTTCTGGCGGTCAGCTGACTCTTAGTTGGTCCAGTCAATGCGTTCTGTTGGGTCACATCTGGAAGATTCTGGAAGCCGCTGCTTTAGTGTAGTCAACCCGTGGGTCAACCGGTGTCTTGTTTCACAGCGCTCTCAAAATAGTCTTGGGATCTTTGGCACCGATGGTTTCCCGAAGTCTGTCTCGTTCCTGAAGTTCTCTTTCTGCCGCTTTGTCGCTGTCCACTTTCTTCTGTGCAATTCTATTGACCGTGGCCAAGCAGAGTTTGACAGCCTGTTCTTTGCTCACTGAGTTGTCTGCGACGACAGAGCTTGGGCACGGGCCGTGGACATTGTCGACATCCACACCCGCAAGTATATGGACCCGGGTGATCAGGTGATCTTGCATGGGCTTGCTCGCAGGCCGCAAGGGTGCATACGCCTTCTCAGGTGTGGCCGAGCAGCAGGAGCTTCAGGTGTTTTGTGATCAGCGCCAACGTAGAGGGCGCAATCCTGGAGAAAGCTTCAGGTGCAAGTTGCTGAGCCATCTGGTGGGTTTCCGTCCAACCATCTTCTCAGCTTGCGGGGTCGCAGTCTCAAGCTCCTCATCGACAACCAGCTGTGGGCAGTCTTCTGCCAACCTCTGATCAATGTTCTCCATAGTCAGAGCATGTCAGCCTGATGGACCCTGCATTGACAGCAATCTGAAACACCGGAATTCGGAATAGCGCTGCAGGGTAGAGCTTATTCAATGTGCTTGATTAACTAGCCGCTAAACTAAAGTGGCTGCGCACTAATTGTGGCGACTGGTCACATACATACATACATACATACATACATTTGGAGCCGGGACAATGAGCTCTATGTCTTTGTGGAAACACATCTTGACAGCCAAAGGCACCACTCCATGTGCCAGTACTTTGAAGTTGGAGGGAGACATGCCTTTGGATACCCGCCCCATAGCAATGCCACCAATGAAGGCACTCATGGTGGAATCCTGATTCTCCACGACACAGCACACGGCATCTCCCAGGTTGAGCACTATGCCATAGAAGGCTGTGGCTGGGAGGCCAAAGGACGGTCCATTCTGGTGATTGCAGTCTACTTCAAGACCAATGAGACTCTCCAAGGCCAAACAAACTCCAAGCTGCTGGCAAGAATCCTGACACTGCTGCAGGCTTCCAACAGGCAGTTCATGATGGTGGGAGACTGGAACAACCATCCAGACCAGTTTCAAAGCACCGTATTGAACTCCAAGTTCCACTGGCAAATACTGGCACCTGACGCCACGCTGCTCAATGGCAACACCGTGGACTATGCCATCATGCACCAGAACCTTGCCACACATACATCCATGACCACCGACTGGGCATTGCCTTGGCGACCACATTGCCTCGTCACCTATGCCCTGGAACTCGATGATGACTTCAGACACTACAACCAGCTACGCAGCTTTCCGCCCTTGCCCAACATACCAGACATTGGGTTCAGGGCTTGGAGCACCTACGTCTCACAGGTGGAAGACATCCAGCTGTATGATGCAGCCCCCAACGAAGCAGCCAGAGGCCTCGCTGACTGGGTGTCAATCACGGAACAATACCTGCTCCAACAACACCCGTGGGCCCCTCAGAGCAGGGCCTACAACCTGGCAGCAAAGCACCAACCATTGGTCCCTGCCAAAGCTGGAGCTATGTGGAAAAAGGGCAAACCGGCATACTGGGAACAGTTACAGGCCCGTCTCAACATCATCCAGCACCAACCCAACCATGCCAAGGGTGCAATGCGGGGTTTAGCCAAAGCACTACAACATGTCCAGCAGCACTGGACCGGCGACCCCACCTGGGCCCAATTTCTCGATACCAGCCAGCGCTGGCAACAGCATCGAGACCCACGCACA